TCTACAGATGTTCAAAAGACAGTAGGAGTATTACGAGTAACTTAACGTCAGTTTATTATACAACCTGAAATAGACAAATACCTTTGGTGACACAAACTGTCAAAGCTCACCAAGAAGAAACAAAATGAAGAGCCGTAGGGATATTAAAATTTTTTAAAAAAAATTTACAGATAAAAACTTGCTCACAGAGAAAACTCTAGGCCCAGATGATTTCACTGGTTAAGTCTATGAATTACTGCATGAAGAAATAATACCAATTTTATACAAACTCCCTCATTAAAATGAAAAGGAGGGCATTCTTCCCAACTCATTCTTTGGGACTTATGAATCTATAGTAATCAAGACAGTATAGAATTGGCATACAGATGGGCAAACAGATCAACAGAAGGGTCCAGAAATAGATCTATGTATATGGACAATTGATTTTCAACAAAGGAGCAAAGGCAATTCGGTGGAGAAAGGATTATTCCTTCAACAAAAGGGGCCAGAACAATAGAAAATCCACATGCAAGAACATATTTTTTTTTTACTCATATTTCATATCACATGCAAAAATTAACTCAAATTGGATCATGGTCCTAAATGTAAAGCAGAAAACTATAATACTTCTAGAAGAAAACAGAATTAGGGCAAGATGTCTTAAATAAGACATCACAAACACGATCTATAAAAGAAGAAACTAATATACTGAACTCCACCAAAATTAAAAACCTCTAGTTTTCTAAAGAGAAGTCAAAAACTGGGAGAAAATAGTTGCAAATTGTGTCTGATGAAGGACATGTTTCTAGAACACATAATAAGAAAACAAACAACCTGATAAAAAATTTTAGCTTAAAGATTTGAACAGGTACTTCATTAAAAAAAAGATCTACAAATGGCAAATATGCACATGAAAAGATGCCCAACATCATTAGTCATTAGGAAAATGGAAGTTAAAACCACAATGATCTACCACTACACACCTACTAGAATGGCTAAAATTAAGAAGACCAACTGTACCAAGTCTGATGATGTGGAGCCACTTAGAACACTCGTGGGAATATAAAATGCTACAGCCACTTTGGAAAAAAAAATATTTTAAGATTTTATTTATTTATTCATGAGAGACACAGAGAGAGAGGCAGAGACACAGGCAGGCAGGAGAAGCAGACTCCCTGTGGGCAGCCCGATGTGGGACTCATCCCAGGACCCTGGGATCACGACCTGAGCTAATGGTAGATGCTCAACCACTGAGCCAAAAGGTGCCCCTTTGGAAAACAATTTAAGTTTCTTTAAAAGTTAACTATACGCCTATCATATGATTCAGCTATTTCACTTCCAGGTATTTATCCAAAAGAAAGGAAAAGCATGTGTCCATACAGAGTATACATAAATGCTCGTAGTGACTTTGGTCCCAAACTGGAAACAACCCAAATGTCCATCGATAAGTGATTGGATATACAAACTGTGATCTGTGCATACAGAGGGAGTACCACTCATCAGTAATACAGAATGCACTTTTTTTTTTTTAAGATTTTATTTATTTACTCATGAGAGACACAGAGAGAGAAAGGCAAAGCCATAGGCAGAGAGAGAAGCAGGCTCTATGCAGGGAACCCGATGTGGGACTTGATCTCAGGTCTCCAGGATCACACCCCGGGCCAAAGGTAGGTGCTCAACCAGTGAGCCACCTAGGCGTCCCCAGAATGTATTTCTGATACATACTTCGATCAACCTGGATGAACCTCAAAATAATTATGCTGAGTGAAAGTTGCCAAAGTAAAAAAAAGTACACAATGCCTGATTCCATTTATATAAAACTCTAAATACAGACCAGTGATGGAAAGCAGGTCATTATTTGCCTAGGAATGTGGCAGCGGGGGTGGGGTGGTGGTGGTGGCTAAACAAGGATTAGCAAGGGGCACAAGGAAACCTTTGAGAGCAATGGGTATGTTCATTGTCTTAATTATGGTAATGGCTTCACGGCTGCGTCCATATGCCAAAATGTACTATTGCTGGACACCTGTGCAGTACTGCATACCAACTGTATGTCAATAACATTGCTTAGGAAAAAAGAAAAGACATCAGGGACATTAAGCACTGTGGCCAAGGCCTCACCACAAAATGACATTATGTGGATATACCATACCTAATAAGTCTCTACTATTAGAGACTAATAAGTCTAGGGTATTATGTTGTCTTCCATTAAAAATAAAGCTGTGACATGAAGGAAGAAAGGGAGGGAGAGAGGGAGGGAGGGAGGGAGGGAGGGAGGGAGGGAGGGAGGAAGGAAGGAAGGAAGGAAGGAAGGAAGGAAGGAAGGAAGAAGGAAGGAAGGAGTGACATAATCCCTCTGTGCTGTCTTTGACTTGAACCCATTTCCTTCTGGGGCACCTGGGTGGCCCAGTGGTTGAGTGTCTCCCTTTGGCTCAGGGCGTGATCCCGGGGTCCTGGGATCGAGTCCCGCATCGGGCTCCCCGCAGGGAGCCTGCTTCTCCCTCTGCCTGTGTCTCTGCCTCTCTCTCTGGGTCTCTCATGAATAAATTAAATAAAAATCTTCAAAAAATAAAAAACAAATAAACCTATTTCCTTTTTCCTTGCGCCAGGTTTCAAAAAAAGTTACTAGATAGGCCAAAGATGATGCACATGTCTAAGGCTATTAACAAGTGGGTCCCTAGGAAGCTTGGAAGAAGGCCCACCCTCCCTGCCACTTCCATAGCTCATCTTTTGCCAGCATACTTCCTTAACAGGAAGGGATAAATAGGTTCCCTTTTGTCTCTCATCTTTGCCCATGACTTCCCCATCCTTTTCTCCTGTGGAACTGCTGACAGTCAACGAGTCTCCCTGAGTTCAGTCTGCCCACCAGGGGGACACAGCTATGACTGATCTCTTCCAGAGCCATGAGGTTTTTTGAAGGATCGAAGAGCCTTCTGTGAAGAGCGGGGCCCTCTCGGCTAAAATTTTCTCCCTTTGGGTCACTCGCACCAGGGAGGGTGCCCCCCCCCCCGACCCTGGGGCTGGGGAACTGTGCCACTCTCACCTGTTTCTTGGTATCCACCTCCAGAATGTCCATCAAGTTGATCATGATGTTTTTGTGTGTCTTCTTGTACTTCCCAACCCGCAGCGAGACAGTGAGCCAGCCGGGGCGCCCCGTGCACATGAAGGTCTTGCTGCCCTGCTCCTTCCATTCCCGCACCTGCAAGAGTAGGACAGAGGCTAAGCTGGGCCCCCCAGGGGATAGAGCAGCTTGCAGCCCTGCTTTCAGGAGAGGGAGCTGGGAGTGATGCCTTCATGTTTCAACAAACACTTCCCGAGCCCCTGCACCCCGCCGGGCACTGGAAGACCCGCAGCCCTTTCCCTCTGAAACCTTCCCTGGCTAGTGCCACATGGCAAAGTGGGATGGAGAAAGAGCTAAAATCCAGGATCAAAGTGCTATGTAAACAATGCTCACTGGGAAGCCCAGGCAAGGTCTTACAGCGATAATAAAAGAACTCTACAATGACAACAATCTCCTGGGTGCCCCCACTGTGCAGGGCACCCAGGCACCTACTATACACTGTCTCATTGACTTCTCACAACAACCCCAGGAGGGTGGGATGACCAGCCCCTTCTTATAGGGGAGAAAGCTGAGAAACAAAAAAACTTGGTCACTCAACAAGTAAAGGGCAGAGCCCAGATTCACATCCAGGACTGTCCAACTTCCGGCCTGCAAAGATAGATAGGCTTGTGTTAACAGTCAGGAAGAGAATAACAGTTAACAGTTAATGGAGGCTTATGTGCCAAGCCCCATTCTAAGCAAGTGTATGTGTTAACTCATATGTCACTGGAGGGGGAGAGAAGGGGTGGGGAAGGACCACAAACCCAATGGAAGGAAGAGCCTTTGCAAAGCCTCTACTGCAAATGACCAGAGCACACAACGCAGAGAACAAATGGCCCAGGAGACTCGACGCCCACTAGGAACACAGGAGGAAGTGCTCCCTTTCTGCTGAGATGGACATCTATTGCTGTGACCTTTGACCATTCGTTTGTTCTTCATATGCTTTTAAAGGTTCCATCTTCCTTGGGTCCAGGGGATGCTGAGTCTCCCCCTGCTCCAGAAGATGGACATGTGACTTAGGTCTGATGTTGTCCTTTTGGCCACAGTGACCAGTTCAGGGATGGGCCCAGGGTCCAAGTCAAGACAATAAGACCCATTCTAGGAGAGGAATTCTCGTTTTACTGGGATTGTGGAGCCGGTTGTATGAAACTGCTGGGGTTTCCTCAGAGAGATGGGCCTCCCTGAGTACAAAGTCAACCCAGACGAAAGCCGAGCCAGTAGATGGCAGATGGATGGAAAGCTGGAGATGAGGAACAGGGAATCCTCGATCTAGTCATACCTGAGCCAGTTTTATTCTTGGACTTTTCGGGATCTGGGCCAACAAAATCCCTTGCTGCTCAGGCCAGTGAGTTGAGCTCCTACCACATGCAACCAAGAGTCGTGGAGGGGGCTGGGTTGAAGCTGGCTGGGTAAACAAACAGCTCAACATGGGGGAGCAAAAAAACAAAAATAAAAAATAAAATAAAAATTTAAAAAAAAACATGGGGGAGCACTTTCCTGCCATCTGAGGCCAGGGTGCCCTGTGAATAGAGGTATATGAGCAGAAGAGGGATTCCATGATCATCTGGCCTTGCCCCTGCCTGACTCTGCAAACCCAGGGCTTCGTACAAACTCCGGGGTGTAGGAAATGGATTCTGGGTGCTGCATTCCAGCTGTTGGGTGGGCCGCACGAAGTGAGTGTATGGAAGCCTTAAAGCCTGAACCACCGGTTGGACTGGATCCTGATGGGAACCAAGCAAGAATCTGGCAGGGAGGTACTGTTGTGCAAAGTCCTTCTTGTGAGTATGTGCAAGTCAGGGAGACATGGGGAGGGACAAGAAAAAGGGCCACTAGTCAGGGGGTTATTGCCACAAGCCAGGTGTGAGGCAACAGAACCAGATCTACTGGGTGGAATGGAAAGGGATGGGAAAGGAAAAAGGTCAGAGATCAGGCTCTAAAACCAGGCTGACCTGGTTTCCAGCCCCATTTACCAGCTATAGCCACCTTGAACACATGACTACCGATTCAGCCTCAATTTTTCCCTGCCTGTAAAACAGGTCTAAGTCCTCCCAGGATTGCTGTGAGATTAGAAATGATGGACATCAAGGCTCGGGGCGTGGCACGTGTCAGGTGCAGGGTAGCGGGCTGGTTTGGCCAAGCCCCTTGTCTTCTTGTCCAGTGAGAACCTCTGGCTTAGTTTTAGCTAAACAAGCACGCACTGGGCTGCTCTGGACAGGGCCCCGTGGGCCAGAGGTGACTTGGACAATAACAGTCCCTGCCTTTCAGGAGCCCACACTTGGTTGGAGGGTGGGGGTGTGTGTATGGGGGGGAAACAACAAACAAGTAAACAGGGAAATCTGAACCTATGAAAAGAGCTAGGGAAGAGGGTGCAGTCGGGGAGGGAGGGTGGGCAGGGCTCTGGAGCTGTGACTGGCCGGCTGAACCCAGGGTAGCCCAGGCAAAGCAATTCCAGACATTGCATTCTGCTACCCAGCCCAAGGTCTTATGCCTCATAGGAGTGGCCCTCAGCATCCATCTTCCCACTCTTGCTTGCGGCACCCAGCGCTGCGCCCACAGAACATGGAGGCTTCTACACCTGCGCTGAGGGTGGCGACAGGAAACAGAAGCTCTTTGCAACCTGACACTCCTAAGAGGAACGTAAGGAGGGGTAGCAGGAGGCCAAGAAAACGCCCGGGCTGGAAGGCCACGCCAACCCTGGGCACAGAGAAGGAGGTTCCCGGGTGAGCAGCAGCGGGGGCAGCGGCAGGGACTCCGTGGGGGCGCGGACCCGGGGGGGGGGGGATGGGGTTTGGAGGCGGGGAGGATGCACAGAGTTACTGGGGATGCCTCCTCCAGAAGTGAGTACCCGCCCAGCGCCCCAAGGCTCTTCACCCTCACCCCGGCTGGGTGCTACCTTCTCACCTCGGTCGGTCCTTCGTTCTCAAAGAGGCAAGAGCTCCTTGCTGCTGCAGAGTAAACTCTCAACTCTAGACCCCGCCCCAACCTAGTTCCGAGGGGAACTTTCCAACCTTCCCCCACTCCGGGCCTGGGCTCACAGCCAGCCCTCCGCCGGACACACCTTCGTCCCGTCAGTTCCCCGACTCGACTCCCCGGTCTCTCCCGCCAGCCCCTGCCCCCAGAAGCCCCCGTCTCCGGGATGCGTCGCGCCCGGCGGCAGCCACCTGTTCCCGGCTCACCCTGCCCGGTCTGGTGATCCCGTGTACCCTCTGGGGCCCCCGCAGGTGCTCCGCGCAGGGCAGACACCTCGCTCCCGGGAAGCGCCCCCCGCCCCCCGGGTGGGGTGTGGGGTCTGGGCCCCCGGGCCCCCGGGCCCCCGGGGCGCCGCCGCACCCAGCGCCGCGCGCATCCCGCCGCGCCCCGCGCCGCTCACCTGCTTCTGGATGTCCCGCACGCGCTGCCCGTGCAGGCGAGGCGCGCTGCTGAGCTTGAACACCACCCAGGCGCGCACGTAGTAGTAGATGTCGAAGATGAGCGAGAGCGGCAGGAGGAAGAGGCACACGAACACCCAGCGCTGGTGGATGAGCACGAACTCCAGCCCCTTCACGCGGACCCAGAGCAGGAAGAGCAGCGCGCACACGGCCAGCGACACGGCGGGCTCCATGGTGGGGCCGGCGGCGCGCCGCGCGGGGGAGGGGGTCCCGGCTCGCGCCGCCCGTCACCGCCGCCCGCTCCGCGCCCGCCGCCCGCCCGCCCGCCGGCTCCGCGCCCGCCCGCGCCCGCCCGCGCCCGCCCGCGCCCGCCGCCCGCGCCCGCCGCCCGCTCCCCGGGAGTCGGGGGTCGCCTCGCCGCCTCGCGATTGGCTCGGGCCGCCAAGGTTCGGTGGGCCGAGACCCGGCTGGCGACCAATGGCGAGCCGCGCCGGGGATCGGACCAGGAAGCCGCCGCGCTGATTGGCTGCGGGAGGCGGGCCGCCCCACCCCCTTCGGCCGTCGCGCGGGGAGGGGCGGCTGGGGAACACGCGCGCCCGCGGGGTCGGCGGCGCCCTGCGGCGCGGGGGGCTGCGGGGACGCCGGCTCGAGGGCCGCGTTCAGCCGCCGCGCGCTGGGTCGGCGCCCCACGGCCCTGGGTCGGGCGCCCCGCGGCGAGCGCGCGCGCTTAGCCCTGACCGCGGCCGGCGGGTCGCGCGGTGCGCTCAAGGCCACGAGGTGCACCTTGCCGTTTCCCCGGGCGCTTTCTGTAGGCTCCTGCAGCAGGTCGGGGGCCGCGGGGGGGGTAGGGTGAGCTCCATGTTATCAATGAGGAAGCATCCCAGAAGAGCGCAAAACGGCTCCCTCACCCCTTTCCCACTCGGCTGATGCAGATAGGACAGGAGGGGAAAGAAGGAAGGACCCCCCCCCCCCCGCAGCCACGGTGAATGCGCCCTAGCGGCCACTGTGCCAGGCCGTGGGGCAGGCCCGAGCAGGGGGGGCTCCGTACGGACGAGCAGGGACTGTGACCGGCAAAAGATTAAATCCAGTGTCCTTTGCGTTTCACCTCGATTCTGTAGAGAGCTGGTTACCTCTTCCGAAATTTTAGAAAGTGCAGGCGATTTTTATTTTAGGAGCTAAACCTTGACCACGGAGGTCCTAAACTGGCCTTGCTTATCACCTATCCACTTCCCTCTGTTTTCATCTTTGCCAGAAGGAACATGCACTCGTAGGAGGTTCCCTGGGCGCCCACGATCCCTCAGGTTTTCAGTACCTTTGCTCCCGATGGAACCTCTGCAATGGCCTTACCATTCCCTTAATAGAGCTAGACGTACATCCTTGAATCAGCTCCGGGCCACCTCTAAAACTACGTTTATGACACTTTCTTCCCCTTTCAAGTGCTCATAAAATAAAGTGCAGCTGTCCTGGTTCTTACACGTTATTTTGTTCACTGTCTCTTTATGGGTCTCTCACACTGGCAGACTGAGCTTTAGCGCACGCGATGTCTCCTCGTTCACTTTTGTGTTTGCAGTTTCTAGCGCAGTGCTTGATGCTAGTAGACACTCCAGGGTTTGTTGACCAATGAATGAATGAAGAATGTAGGCAGAGGCTCGAATGTTCAATAATGATCAAAGTCCACATAGTGAGAGGCTGTTTGCACTGGGCTTTAAAAATGAATAGCCTAGCCCTGCAATGTCTTATACAACAGCTACTAGCTACTGGTATGTGGCTAATCTAAACTGAAATGAACGTTAAGTGTAAAACACTGGATTCCAAAGACAGTACAAAGAAGAGAATGTGAACTATTTCACTAATAATTTTATATTGATTATGTGTTGCAAGGATAGTGTTTTGATGTGCTGGGTTAAATAAAATATTAAAGTTGATTTCACTTGCTCTGTTTACCTTTTAAAGGTAGCTACTAAAATTTTTAAAATTATTGATCTGTCTTAAGTTATATCTCTAGCAGCTCCAATCAAGAGGGAGCACCAAAAATGCAAAGAGCAGAGCCACTCTGGAAAACTCACCCTGGTTCTGTTTGAATTCAAATGTTAGAACTGTTAGGGAGGGCTTTGCTTTAAAAGCTTAACCATTCTGGGGGCCCTGGGAGGCCCAGTTGGTTAAGCGTCTGCCTTCGGCTCAGGTCTTGAACTCAGGGTCCTGGACTGGAGCCCTGCATGTGAGATCAGGCTCTGTGCTCAGCGGGGAGTCTGCTTGAGATTCTCTCCCTCTGCACCCCACCCCCATACTTGCTCACTTGCCTGTGTGCATGCTCTCTCTCTTAAATAAATGAATAAATCTTTTTTAAAAAATGCTTAACCATCCTGAGTATTGTTGGGGTATGAGGTAATCTGGAAAGTTAATTTCTACATAAAAATCAACTTCGGACTAAAGTGTTTAGTGCCTTGTAGTTGAGAAACCACAAAATTACTGGTAATCAGAATAGTTTTACCCTTGGGAAAAGGAGGAGTACACCTCAACAACCAAATAGGACTGAGGTTTAGGGGACAACTCTCAAAAAAGAAAATGAATGAAAAAGTACTCAGAACAATAGTTAACCCAGCCTGCAGGTCCTCATTCTCTTTTCCTGCCTGCCTGCCTGCATCTTTGATTCTTCTTTTCTGTCTCCATGAACCTCAGCCTTTTGGGGCTGTTATTGTCTAGGCAAGAAAAATAGTAACCCCAGGTTGGGCCAATTAGTTAATTTTTATCATTTTAATTAACATATAGTAAAGGTGCTTATCGTTTGTGTACAGTTTATGAATTTCAGCATATATAAGGGTTTTTGTAATCAACACAGTGAAGATCTAGAATTGTTTCATCACCCCAAAAAACTCCCTCCTTTGGAGTTACATTCTTCCCCCACCTTTAGCCCCTGGAGACAAGTGCTCTGTTTGCAGTAGTATAGTTTTGTCTTTTCCAGAGATCAAGATCATCCAAATGGAATCATGCAGTTTGTTATCTTGGGCCCATTAATAGGTTTAAATTGATTTCCTATAGTGGTAAAATACACATAACAATGGTCATCCTATTATTTTTAAGATATTATTTATTTATTCATGAGACAGAGAGAGAGAGAGAGAGGCAGAGGCACAGGCAGAGGGAGAAGCAGGCTCTATGCAGGGAGCCTGACATGGGACTCGATCCCGGGTCTCCAGGATCACGCCCTGGGCTGAAGACAGCGCTAAACCGCTGAGCCACCCAGGCTGCCCCATCCTAAATGTTTTTAAGTGTACAGTTCGATGGTATTAAATACATTCACATGGGGGTACATGGAGGGTTTAATCAGTTAAGCGTCTGCCTTTGACTCAGGTCATGATTCTGGAGTCCTGGGATCGAGCCCCATGTGAGGCTCCCCACTCGGTGGTGAGTCAGCTTCTCCCTCTCTCTCTGCCCCTCCCTGCCCTGCTCATGTTCTTTCTCTTGCTTGCTCTCTCAAATAAATAAAATCTTAAAAAATAAGCAAGCAAATAAATAAATACATTCACGTTGTTGTGTAGCCAACACCACCACCCACTCTCATAGCTCTCTTCATCTGAAACTCTGTGCCCACTAAACAGTAACTCCATACCCCCGCCCCTGGCACCTGGCAACTACCATTCTACTTTCTGTCTCTATGATTCTGATGACTCTCAGTATCTCATACAGTATTTGTCTTTTTGTGATTGGCTATTTCATTTAGCCTCCTGTCCTCGAGATTCATCCATGTTGTAGCATATTGAGGAGTTTGCTTCCTTTTTAAGGCTGAAATATTCCATTGTATGTATTACACTTTACTTATCCATTCATCTGTCAATGGACACTTGGGTTGCTTCCATGTTTTATCCATGTGAACACTGCTGCTGTGAATATGGGTGTACAAGTATCTTTTCAAGACCTTGCTTTCAATTCTTCTGGGTATAGACCCAGAAGTGGAATCATATGGTAATTCCAGGTTTAATTTTTGAGGAACCACCATACTGTTTTCCACAGTGGCTGCACGATTTTATATCCCCACCAGCAATACCTAATGCTTTCCCCTGCTCCATTTCTTTGTCAACACTTGTTTTCTGGTTTTTGTTTTGTTTTTTCTTTTTATAGTAGTCATGCTGGGGATACAGTAGTAAACTAGACACAGTCCACACTCTGACAGACCCTTGTGGGAGATCTAGACCATCCATGAGCAATTATAAATCAATGTTAAGTGTTATGATAAAGAATTATGGGGTGCTATGGAGGCACATGAAGTGT